CCCACCTCTATTTTACATTTAGGGCACAGCGGAGAAAGGTCTGAATTGTATTTATGGCGTTGAGAAGGTGATATGTGAGCTCTGTGTAGGATTTTAATTTGGATTGCCTTAACTTTATTACAGACGCTCAGAGATTTAGCATTCTCCCAAACTTTGTCCCATACCTCGTCACTGATCTCTATATTTAATTCTTTTTCCCAAGTCCTCTTCAAATTGGTTGTGTCAGTCACCCCAAATTCTGTTAACAGGCCATAACAAATTTTTATAGAAGTTCTAAGGTTTGGCTGAAATATCTGCTTTTCACATTTAAAGACAGTTTGATTAGTATTGTTGTAGCCCTCTGTATATGGTCCCTCACTTGTAAATATCTAAAGAAGTCATGCCTATGAATGTTGTATTTATAGATTAGCTGGTCAAAGGACATGAGGTTAGACCCGTCCATTAAGTCAGAAAAGGTAGAAATACCATTCGCAGCCCAGTTCCGAAAGCCAGGGTCAGTGGTCCCAGGCAGAAAAAGAGGATAATCGGATAAGGGAGTGAAAAGAGATGTTAAGTGAGACCTTCCTTCTAATTTTTGAACCATTCGCCAAGCTTTAACAGTAGATAATGTGAGTGGGTTGCTACAGAACATCGTTAAGGTCTTAAGTTTTCCCACAAAAAGCAAACTTTTCAAAGGGAAGTTAGACATAGAGCTCTCAATATCCAACCAGACAGGAGAAGGCTGTTATACCCAATCGGCAGCTATACGCATATGGGTGCTCAGCTGGATATTGATGTGGATCATAACTTGTCTTTTTCTTCCTTTTCTCCTTCAGAATGTAAACTTGGCAGCAGAGAAAGAGCCAAGCTGTGTTTTAGGGCCACACGTTGCAAACCCAGTGAAGGTACTTTTAGTGAAAAAACAAACCCCATTCGTTAGGTCATTTTCAGCGAGCATGAATTTCACAGTTCTGTCTGTTATTTCTAGCTACCTCTAAGGTTGTAGAGAAGTACACCTTTTCAGACCTGAGTATGGGAAATGAACAGGTGAGTAGAACATACACTTCACAATATACAATTTTCTGTTATGGTTGTATGCTCTCATGCTTTGTCATAGTTGTTTTTTGGGGATGTTTTTTGTTTGGTCCCAAAAAGTTGATTATTTTCATCTGGACGAAGCGTTTCCAGTGGGAGAAACGCTTCGTCAGTCATCCAAGTGACTTCTTCAGTCTCAGCTGACTGCAGGTTTCACCAACATTATAAACAGTACATTTCCACAATAACTGAAACCAGCTCACTGAAAG